TATGGAATCTTTTCCCTTTTTTTGACTTTTTTCAGTTCTGGGAATCTCAAAATGCAAAAACCCAGAGGGTCAAANGGTATAATTTCGCATATAAATACATACAAATAATTTTTAATTGGGGCCAGAGACTAAAGAAAACAATAATTTAGAAAAAAATGTTTAATAAAATCTTAGATAATACATATGTATAACAAATTAGGCCTATATTATTTTACAATTTTTCACATTTACTTGATTATTACGCCATAATTTTAACATTGTTTCCATCTCAGCGATAATACCGTGACGTTTACGAATGATGCTTGAATTTAAAGATTGAGCATTTTTCACAGCTTTGAGAATTTTTTCTTTTCCTTTTATAATCTTTCTGACCGACAATTCTGGTAGATCAAACTTCTTTGCCAATTCACAAATTTTCATTTTGTATCGAAGTCTTTAATAATGGATACGTTCGTAAAGTCAAACGAGTTAAACGCGTTAGTAACGAATCATTCAAAAAGTCTAACGAAATAGGAATAACAATGACTTCATTCTCGCTTAACTCATTCGACTTTACGAACATACCCAATGTTAACTTTACATTCCAAAGATAAAGTTTTTCTTTTCTTGTTTGATGCAGAAGAATCAGTTCTACTTCGTTTGGATGACATAGTAGAATCTCTCGAGTCTCCGTAGATATAACAAACACAGAAATAAATAACACAACATAAATTGTAGCTATGTGTCGATTCCGCGCAACACGTCGGAACATGTAAGTCGAACAATAGTGTGGGGGAGTGAGTAATCAAGGGTTGCGTGGCGCTCAAACAAAAGATGAATCGATGAGATTTGAAAATTGCGTAACTCCGGGTTCGCGTAAGTCGGGGTAGCGTAAGTTGGGGTATTACTGTAATAAAGAATAATATTTTAAAATGATACAAACAATGACAATCATTTCTAGCAAAACATATACAGTAGAGTCCTNGAATTGCGTGGCGCTCAAACAAAAGATGAATCGACGAGATTTGAAAATTGCGTAACTCCGGGTTCGCGTAAGTTGGGGTATTACTGTAATAAAGAATAATATTTTAAAATGATACAAACAATGACAATCATTTCTAGCAAAACATATACAGTAGAGTCCTGATAATTTGAAGTGGATGGAACTCTGAGTCTACCATTTCATATGTGATTTCCTTCTGTTATTGAGGGGATGAGCTGGTTTTCTTGTGCTATTTTATTAACTTGACAAAAGTTGGCTCCTCTATTTTTGGTGGGGGCTTTGGACTTTTTCAGCCTGTTGTTAGTTCGGCTTTGATAGGTTCACTTGGGGGGTTTAATCAAATTTCTTTGAGGAGGATTTTGGCTTATTCTTCTATTATACATGTGGGATGAATGTTGGGTGATGTGGGTTTGTCTTTTTCTTTGAGGTTGAGGTATTATCTTGTTTATTTCCTTTTTAGTGTGATATTGGTTAGTATTTTTTTGTGGAATGGGTGTGTTCGTTTGGGTCAGTTATTATTGTCTTTGTTTGTTGTAAAGTTTTCTGTTTTTTTGTTATTGTTGAGAATGGGGGGATTTCCTCCTATGTTGGGGTTTTTCCCTAAATGATATTTGATTATTTTTCTTTTAAGAGAAAATGTGTTTGTCTTTTTTTTTTTCTCTCTTCTTTGGTTAATTTTTTTTTTATTTTCGTTTTTTTATGGGGCATTGTTTAGCAGTATGCTTTCATTTTATTATGTTGGAAATTTGAGCTGAGGATTGGTTGTTTATGTGCTGTGTTTATTGATTTCTTTGTTTGGGGGGCTTTTTATCCTATTTTCTTTTATAAGCATTAAGTTAATAAAACTAATAGCCTTCAAAGCTTGGTGAGAGTCATGCTTAGTTGATAATATTTTTAAATTTGCAATTTAATGTTTTGATTAAACTAATCAACTTTTTGGTTTAGGAGTTTTTCATGGTAAAATTTACAATTTTATGCCTAAGGTTTTCGGCCACACAAACCTTGCAATAGTTGTATTCTACAAATCATAAGGATATTGGTACTATGTATTTGGTGTTAGGGATTTGGGCTTCTATGGTTGGAACTGCTCTGAGATTAATTGTTTGGGGGGAAATTGGGATGCCAGGTTCTTTGATTGGGGATGATCAAGTTTATAATGTGGTTGTAACAGTTCATGCTTTTGTTATGATTTTTTTTTTATAGTTATGCCTATTATGATTGGTGGGTCTGGGAATTGGTTGGTTCCTTTAATGTTGGGTGCTCCGGATGTGGCTTTTCCTCGAATGAATAATATGAGTTTTTGGTTGCTTCTTCCTGCTTTTTTTTCTTTTGCTTTCCTCTGTGGCATTGGAAAGAGGGACTGGTTAACAGTCTACCCCCCCTTTCTTCTTCTTTAGTTCATGTTGGGGGTTCAGTTGATCTTACTATTTTTTCTATACATTTGGCTGGTGTGTCTTCTATTTTAGGGGCTATTAATTTTATTACTACTATTATTAATATGCGAAGAAGTGGTATGGGATTGGATCGTCTTCCTTTGTTTGTTTGATTTGTAATAGTTACTGCTGTTTTGCTTTTGTTGTCTCTTCCTGTGTTGGCTGGGACTATTACTATATTGTTCACAGATCAGAATTTTAATACTTCTTTTTTTGATCCTGCTGGGGGAGGGGATCCTATTTTATATCAACATTTGTTTTGATTTTTTGGGCATCCTGAGGTTTATATTTTAATTTTGCAGGATTTGGGATGATTTTGCATATTGTTAGTCATCATATGGGAAAGAGGGAGCCTTTTGGCTCTTTGTGTATGGTTTATGCTATGGTTGCTATTGGTGGGTTGGGTTTTATTGTTTGGGCTCATCATATGTTTACTGTGGGTATAGATGTAGATACTCGGGCTTATTTTACTGCTGCTACAATAATTATTGCTGTTCCTACAGGTATTAAAATTTTTAGTTGGTTGGCTACTTTGCATGGGTCTTATTTTGTTTTTAGTTCTGCTATATTATGGGCTTTGGGTTTTATTTTTCTTTTTTACTGTGGGGGTTGACTGGTGTAATTTTGGCTAATTCTTCTTTGGATATTGTTTTACATGATACTTATTATGTTGTTGCTCACTTTCATTATGTGTTATCAATGGGGACTGTGTTTGCTATTTTGGCTGTGGTTTTCTGTGATTTTGGGTGTTTGTATGAATGAGCGAGCTTTAAGGGCTCATTTTTTTGTTATATTTGTAGGGGTTAATATGACTTTTTTTCCACAACATTTTTTGGGTTTGAGAGGGATGCCTCGTTGTTACTCTGATTATCCGGATGCTTATTCTTGTTGGAATTTGGTTTCTAGTTTAGGTTCTTATGTTTCTTTTATTGCTACTTTGGCTTTTATGTGTATTTTATGGGAGGGGATTGTTAGTTCTCGTGGGTTTTCTGGGGCTAGTTTTATGCCTTCTTTTTTCTGAGTGATCTCATGGGTTTCCTCCTTAGGATCATACTTATAATCATCTTGTAGCTGTTATTAAGTAGTTTATGGTAACATGGGGGATGCTTTCATTTCAGGATAGTGTTTCTTCTTTAATAGAGCAATTGATGTTTTTTCATGATCATTCGATGGTAGTTTTGGTTATGATTACTGTGCTAGTTTTTTATTTTGTTTCTGGTATTTTGACTAATACTTTTTTGAATTGGTTTATTGTTGAAGGTCAAGATATTGAGATTTTTTGGACTTTTATTCCTGCTGTGCTTTTAATTTTTATTGCTTTTCCTTCTCTTCGTGTATTGTATTTGGTGGAGGAAGTACATTGTCCGGATTTAACTTTAAAGACAGTTGGTCATCCTCAAATTACAAAAAACTCAGAATATGGACCAGAACAGAGCTTTGATTCTGGACTCCAGCTGAGAGCTGAACTGACCATCCAAATCCTGAGCTATACTAGCTCAAGCAGAGCTGAGCTAGTTCTACAGCTCAGCTCTGCTTAGCTCATTTGGTAGTATTCTAATGTATATACAAACATACAGATATACTGTATTAGACTGCAGTTTATTACATGACTAATATATATCTTTTGTAAATATTTAGAAAAAGTTTAAATATTTTTTAAAACCATATTTGATATATAACTGTATATATTTCAGACTTACTTTAAACATTTTAAAATAGATAATACTTAAATATATAATGAAACATAAATTTATTTTAAATGTGGAGAAATGTTGCATATTGTAAATGTAAATGATGTAACAATGGATGTTTTAATTTCACAATTATTTTTAATTACATTTATTAATATTTATATTTACTTTTATTTTTTGTATAATGCATGATTACTAATATCAAGAATTATATTTTATATTATTATATATATAATTTTTTTTACTTAATCTATTGCAATTTTATAATCAAAGAATAAAATATAATTAGCTGTTTTTAAAAAATTAGACTTCTATTCTGTACAAAAGAAAAAGTTATGCCCATCAAGACTTCAATAGATAAAATAGAAAAACTCTCTTTTAATGTTATTTTGATGATTGGACAAGAAATAAAAGCACAATATAATCAAAACATTGCAAAAACTTTCAGTACAGTAAATTTACTCATCATCATTTTAATGGGATCATCAAGCAATGGAATGTAAATAAGATTAAATACAAGCATTCTGGAATGCCAAAAGAATGTATAGTGTTGTTATTTATTGTCCAATCATTAGAATAACTCCAAAAGACAGTTTTTCTGTTTTATCTATTGAACTTTTACTCTAACCACTCCAAAGAAATTACTTATATATTTATTGCCATTTTAGCATATCATTATTTAAAATGAATTTTATTATATTGTCATATTGATTTTGAATAGTCTAAATTGTTTTATTAACCATGCCCGCCCAATATGTAGTTAAGTCTGTTTTGTCTTTATGTACGGAAGTACTGTATAAATCATTGAATTTAATTTATTAAGGTAGAGTTTTTCATGTTAAAAATAGAAAAACTTGATTTTGTTATGATGCTAAGCATTTTAAATTTTTTCAGACAACAGAATTAACTTGTAATGATCTAAATAAATATTACATAGCATTAGATCGTGCTATTTTGAGATATCATGCTATGAAGATGAGTGAAGTTAATAAAATAATTAGAGAATTGTGGATGAAAACTTATGCTGGGAATGGTAAGTTCTATTTTTAATGATCAAATTAAAATTCATAGTAAAACTGTGTTTATATTTCAGATATTGATTATATTGAAATAAAAGCTGATGATGATCAAGCATTTATTGGATTAGAAAGAAGACGAACATATAACTATAAAGTAGTCATGATTAAAGGAGACATTGAAATTGATATGAGAGGAAGATGTAGTGCCGGTCAGAAAGTAAGTTGTTTTTCTTTCTTCTACTGAAGATGTATTGGAATCTCCATTGTTGATTTATATTTAGGACATGGTATAATTGATAAAATAACACACCAGGTTTGCCATTTCTTCATTTCACTCTTTGTCTGCACCTTATTCGTGTTTTGGAGTAGCCAATTAATGCAATTTTGCATCATGTGACATTGTCTTAATATGCCAATAACTAGGGATGCTGTGGTTCTGTGGAAGAATCAGTTCCACAATTGAAACAAGTATCACAAGAAAGAAATTAATATTGGAATTAATTCCAAGTGAAAAGTCAAGAATTAATTGTTTAGATTTTATTTTATTTTATTTATTGTTTTTGGCAAGGAAAACTAGAAATCACATACATTAATTTAATAAATTGTACAGTAATAATTAAAAAATTGCAAATTAAAATAATGAAGCCAAAATCATAATAAAGTTAAGACCACTAGCAATATGTTTCCATGAATTGAATGTGATTAATTAAACACATAAATTTGTTTGATTAACTGCATTCGATTTATGAAAACATATAACCTGACAAAGGTCTCTGAAAGTGAGTGATCAAAAACATTCATTTTATCCAATAAACCTACCTGCTAGAACCAGTACAGAAGGCATCTGTGAATGGTTATATTATTTTCCAGTTTTGTGGTGTTTTATTTATAGATAACATTAATAGCTTATTCAAAAGAAAGAATACAAAATTGGGAATGTAGAAAACTTTTGATTGTTGCTATTTTCTGAGTCCAAGTTTAAAATTGTCAGATCAAGAAAACATTTTGCAAATTAATCTGCAGTGTAATGTGATGGTGAATGCCTAACTTATAATTTAAGGAAAGTTAGGTGAAATAGAGAAATTTTGTATAACAAATGCATGCTAAAAGATAAATTATCATCTGTCTTTTCCAGTTCATTTTTAAATTTTGCAGTTATCTAGAAAATTTACTTAATGAGGTAATACAAATGAGCAATAATAAATAGGAAATTTATTTTAATTAAAAATTATATTTTTCCCTATCTTTTGAGTGCCTTAATGTTTGGGTTTAAAACAATAAAGGTGTTTTGAAAATACATGTGCTGCAAGTAAATTACAACAAACAATAAAAAGTTTATAATGCAATTATAGCTTTATTTCCTTCAATAAAATATGCTTCTTTCTGACAACTTTTACTTTAATAGATATACAGTAGTGGTGACAACCAAAATAGTATTTAGATATCGGCATAAATCTCCCAGAAATTCCAATACTTTAACTTAGGAAACGCTGATTTATTGTACAGGCATACCTTGGTTTAAGGCATTTTGCTAACAATGATTTTTGATATATTCATGTTTATTTAAAAGCAAGGCAAGTGCTAAAAATAAAGATCCCGAAAACCCCTTTATTACTTTTGCATCATTATTTTAGGCTAGCACTATTAGCCAAAAGCATATATTTACATTATCCTTTTTTTATATGCACTGATAAGTTGAATATAACCTTAAAATGAATCACATGTTTCTTCCATTTTATAGCAGTGGTCTTGAACCTAATCCACAATACTGGTAAGGTATGCCTGTATGTTGTAACATCTAAATTTGTAACAATAACAGGTTTTTTAATATTTTAACAGTTTTTTAATATTTAAGTGAACTTCACTTTGTAAGAAATATCTTCAAATCTATAAATGCAACAGAGTAAAATCAACTTCTGAATTCTAATTTTCAAGATGGATATATTTTGACACCATCACTTTATTGCAATTTTTCCATTTCCAGAAACAAATTAAAAAATTTGTTTGCACAACACTGAGCAAAGGAAAACAGCAAAAATATTTGAGACTTCACGAAATGATTTTCAAGTGTTACCATATTTGTGCATATGTAAATGCAAATTAGTTATGACAAAGAAAACTTTCTTTGAGTATGTTTAATATCTACCTATTTTATAGATAGACACATTTGAGTTATTTTCTGCTTGTAGTATGTGTAAAAATTAATGGAAGAAGCACTTATTGATGCATTCTGGTACTTAATTTTCAGGTTCTAGCCTCTCTCATCATTAGACTTGCTCTAGCAGAAACATTTTGTCTCAACTGTGGTATCCTAGCACTAGATGAACCGACAACAAATCTTGACAGAGAAAACATAGAACATCTAGCTCAAGCTTTAGCAGAGTAAGTCATTTTTAATGGTAATTATTTACTCAAAAAAATCTCAACTGCATACTTTTTTGACTAGGATTGTTCAGTCACGTTCTAATCAAAGAAACTTTCAGCTGATAATCATTACTCATGATGAAGAATTCATAGAATTATTAGGAAGAGCGGATGCTGTGGAGTATTATTACAGAGTTAATAAAGATAGTTTGTGAGTATGATTTTTTCTCGTATAGATAAAATTAATTTTTTTCTTCCTGATTTTAAACAAGAATGGAACCATCAAAGTCTATAATTTATTTTACAGCGGTTTTTCTAAAATAACCAAGTGTTTGTTTTCCTCAATGGGATGAATTCCTATTTGGATAAGAAAGAAAAAAAAACAATGACTTCAACATTACAACAATCAATTTTTATTTCACCAAGTGCTCAAAATGTGCAAAAATACAGCCTTCTTATAGAGTGCTTGGTCATTATACATTGTATTTTGTACCTTGTTATTAATAAAGAGCATTATCACAACACTCTAATCAGATAATGTGTGAATAATCTTAAAACTACTGGATAATATATATATATATGTATGTATATATATAATATATATAGATTTAGGCCACTGTAACATCACAATGTGAATAGTAGTTAAAATAAATCATATATGTGAACTTTGATAACATTGAATAGGCACATTCTATAAACTTTTAATCACATTTTAACAAATCTTAGAAATTTAAATTTGCTCAACAAGAATCACATACATACTAAAAGAAAAAATATAAGGCTAAAATCAAGTTTAGACTTATTAACTATACACATTTGAGGATAGTTTTCTGGATTATTGAACTTAAAAACCAGATATTTGAGCAAAAAAATTTTACCTGGAAAAAAATTATTAAATTCTGTGCTGTTTCAAATATAACTATCCTCAAAAAACAGTGGGATTGGATTTATATATATAATCTTCAGAATTAAAAAAGAAAAAACAACAACTAAGGCATTTAAAGCCTACTGATAAATATTTCTATATGACAAGTACTGAAAATAGTTTGTAATATTTTTTTATATGTATTATTTATATAGATTTTACAGGATCAATATAAAATATTGGTGTCCTAGTTTTCAATTGGGTTTCACAAATAGATATGAGGTTTAGTGTTTAGAATTTTTTTCTTTTTGCAAGGAAAATTACGAATACATTTCCTTGATATAAAAACATTTAATTAATAATTCAGCACCATTTTTTTTTAATATTAAAGTTAATATTCAAATAACAAAGTAGCTGCTTTTAAATTTAACAAAAAATAATTATCCGACTAGAAAAATTAATCTTATGTTTACAATAAAATTTCTTCCTTCTAACAAAAAAGTATATATAGATATATATATGTATAATTTTTAAATACATTCTATTTTCTGAACTAATTCCAACATCTAAGATAACTATAATAAAAAAAGGCAGTAGCATTTTTAACTAATTTGAAAAACAGCTGCTAAAAAGTCGACGTTTTCATAATATCAGGCACAGATTTCTTTAAACAAGACACGTGAGTAGGAAAAATGATCCCTTTGGATTTTCACACAATAAATCTAATATCTCTTTTAAACATGACAAATTTTCTATTTACACTTCTTCATAATTTGTAATTTATATACAAAAAGTTGAAATGAAATCTCTTTATGTAAGCACCAATTGTTTTTGGAAAAATACATATTTCTTTTTTAAAAATACAATATTTATCAGCAATGTACGTGTGAAAAATTCCAGATTTAAATTTTCTTCTGACAAATATGAGTGTGCACTCTGTCTCCTTTGGGTTTGGTAAGAAAGAATTAATGACAATAAATTTTGAATAAAATAGTGAATTGAGCAGTTCATGTATTTTTATACTTGTAATTTTTAAAAATACACTTAATTGTCGACAGAATGCACCTTCACAAAATACTAAATGAGCACAGGTGAAATCTTTATAACAATTCTACCTTCAACATATTCAATCTTAAATTGTTTTCAACAAACATCACTTTGACAATGCCAATAGACATCTTCAATGTATACACTACAGATTACATCAAATTACAACATTAAAACACATCAAAACAATTGTATAATAGTTGTTGTTATATATTATCAATGTCAATAAACCAGATTTGACAGATATTTAAAATATTTTTTGCTATTGTACCACAATATCTAACACAATATGGCAAATGCATGCATAAAGCTAGTCTAAATGATATGATTTGATATATCGTACAACAGGAATACAGCCACAGTTTTTTCCTTGTGTGTATTAGATTTGTTACAGCCTAATGATGGATATTATTACGATGATTCTGATGAATTAAAAATAGCAATTATACAATTTAAAAACTTAATGAATAGCTCTGATACCAATTCCCTGAATACTAAGCAACATTTGATGGTTAAGTACATCCTTACATCACAAACAAAATTTCAACTTAATACATTTGAGAAATTGATACTTCTTTGAACTATATTCCCATACGTGTATCTTCCAAATGGATATACACAACCAGAAGTATCAACAGAATTAGAAATAACAACATAATAGATAAAAACAATAACAAAATAATAAACACTAAGCAATTACCTTAAACAGTGAGGTAATATTGTTGTTATAGCTACTACTAAGTTTTGTACAAAAGGATTTGACATGTTAGGCTTTATCATATTGAATTATGTAACATTTAACAATTATTAACACTGTTTCACACACTATAAAACAATGCATTCATATCTTGTTATCCATTATTTCTCAATGAAGCAAGATCTATCATTGTTTACTTGCATTATATTTTTACATGATTAAATTTTATGCATGTGTTTGAGATAAATATAGTCTCTAGAAACAGAGAACTTCAAATTGTTTAACCCGTAAGTGTTAATCTTACCCACTTTAAATTTTAACTCTAAATCCAATTATATGTATGATTAAATCATAACTGATCAACAAAATTTTTAAAACATTATTGGCACATGAAAATATAGAAGATAACAATGATAAAATTATTTTTGGCATAATTATATCTTATACATAAAACCATTAAATGGATTGTAAAATATATTTTCACACTATTGCATTTTTATAATACCAATATTGGCATTTCTAAATTTAATGAATAATTGCTTTTTAGCTATAAAAGCAATTTTCCATCACCAAAACTAAATATCATTTGATTCTATCAGTATGCCTAGCCTAAGCTAGTAAATTACAAAGAAAAAAAAAATACTACATACTGATTAATATGAATGATGTTACTAAATAAATCTGGGAATCAATATTCATTCTTCGAAAAGATTCACTGATTATTCAAAGCACGTTTATATTCTTCATTGTTCATACTTTTTCAGGCATTGACGTAACATCTTATTTTCACCTCGCAACTTTTCAAGTTCATCTCTTAATACGTGATTTTCTTTCTCCAAATAGGAAGCTCTCAAAACTATCTGATTTTCTTTTACTCGTCTTGCTTCACGAGATCGCTTAGCAGCAATGTTATTTTTATGTCGTCTCATCCAATATTTTTCATCTTTTAAATTATCTGGAACAAAACGCTTCTTTGACTTTTTAACCATCGGTTGAGGTTTTAATTCGTCTTCCGAAAATGAATGCAGCGTTGGATCAAAATTGTTATGACCTGGAATTGTAGCTAAAGCAAGATCATCTTGGGTAAACTTACATTCAACAGGAACTCCATTTTGATCTGTTTCTTGATTTTTGTTTACATTTTCACCAACTTGTTTTTCTATATAGTAAATATAAAATTTAACTTGAAATAAAAGTTGGACTGCATTTTTAATCAATTTAATGTAATTTTGAGAAAACAATAGTATCAATATATCATAAAAACAACTAAAAAAATCACAGTAATTTGATTAATTTAAACTGAGATTTAAATGTAATATAAATTATTTCATCTAATAATTTAAGTTACAAAATCTTTATTTTATATTAAAAATATCATTTAACTTTTATTTATATAGCTAATGGAAATATTTATACATAAGAAAATTTTTTAAGAAAAACACTATGAAAATCAAATTATTATTCAATTCATATAACTAACACCTTATTCTTGCTGAGAGAAATATAATTTATTTGAAACAAACATTTTCAGCCTGATTCACAGGCCATCCCCAGGTTTAGAACAAATTTGAATTAAAGGATTCCATCAATGGAATACAAAATTCAAAATTAAAAAATTAAATAAGCAACAGAATAAGATAAAAATAAAATTAAAATATTAAATAACCAACAGAGTAACATTAAAACAAAAAATATAAAAATTGTACATAAAATTATTAATAAATGCAATTACTAACACATCCAATAAAACTACTATTATGACTGGTTAGAGCTCTTATTAAACTTCTTAACTATAAACTTCCATGCAGAGGGAAGACTTTCTTCTGCATCTCTTGCATTTAAACATTCTTCTTTTATTTTACTCCTATAAATCTGCAACTTTTCCGCTGTCAACGCCAAAGATGGAGAAGATAAAGGTTTTATGATGGCTGCCTCATTCCATTTGACTACTGATCCTGTTGCTTGCATCATTTGGGATAAAATTGTTGCATTAGACCCCTTTCTGATATTATAACTACGCTCCTTGATTCTAAGCCCTAAACTCCTGGTGGTTACTCCAATATAGTCTTTTTTAACGCCCAATTGCATGTTCTCATAAGGAATTCTATAAACCCCTGCTTTTTCTTCCGACTTTATATCATCCTTATCATTCCTGAGGATTTTGTATAAATTAGGGGCCCTTTTTATAAGCATCCTCAAACCTTTTCTGTGAGCAATCTCTTTCATAACTCTATTCATACTTTCATTATATGTAAATTTTACGATTCCAGTGGGAGCATTTTTAAAAGACCCTTTCTTGATGTTCACTTCATACTTCCTAACAATTCCCAGAATTGTGCTTTTTTTGGTAACCTAGGATCTTGGCCACGCTTATTATTCTATTTATTTCTTTCCTTCTGTCTTGTACTGTTTCACAATACAAAAATGCCCTTCTTATTAAAGCTCTGAAAGCTGCAATTTTATACTTATACGGATCCTTTGTATTCCATTGATTCCTTTAATTCAAATTTGTTCTAAACCTGAGGATGGCCTGTGAATCAGGCTGAAAACGTTTGTTTCAAATAAATTATATTTCTCTCAGCAAGAATAAGGTGTTAGTTATATGTATAGTGATTTGCTGAGTACTTTATGATATTATTATTCAATTCTTTATTCATAAAATAAAAATATATATAGTGGAAAATTAGTCATTCAAATTAGAAATTTAATTAAATATATTGCCTATATAAAATTAATTAAATACTTAGATTTATTTTATGAATGTTTACCAGCCAATTATTTTTCATCAAAGAAAGTAAATCACTAAATTAGTCCTTTGGTAATATTAGTAAACTTTTGTCACATTCTTTTTTGTCACATTGATATGATCAATTAATGACAAATGGTAGAATTTCATTAGATGAATTGACTGATAAATCAGGACTGAAACAACTGAAAATTATAATTGAGAAAAATTGAAGCAATTCATAAAACGTCTCATATAATCTCCATTAGATATGTTTCATTTATATATTCTTTCTTTAATTTGGTTTAAATAATTAAAATATTGAAAAAAATAGTTGAAGTATAACAGGTATGTCAGATGATAAAAAGTGATAATAAAACTAGTTAATTAATTAAACACAAACACACAGGGTGTAACAAGAAAGATGGTCACAAGGTGATAGAACAATTGATTGGCAAAAAGAAAAATTGTCATAATACAACACACATGGTTGGAAGCTAAGTGGTTTGCTGTAAGAGGGCTCTTCTCACTAGCAAGTGCAATGTTTTGCATACATCATTCGGAAGTCATACAGCTGCAGGCAGAAATGCAACAATATTCAAATGCTGAGAAAACATATGCATTTCATGTATGGAGCTTCAAACGATAAAGCCCATCAACTCTCCTGAAGATCTTGTCACCAGAATTAGTGTTGCTGTTGCAGAAATACTGGTACCTGACATGTTGAGTATCTTTCAAGGTGTATGCCAATCACTCCATCATCATTGTGATGCATTTATTGCAGCTGATGGACATTCATTCAAACAATTCCTGTAAATATGAAACATTATTTCTTGTAAATTTGTAAATATCTGTGATTAAAATGATTTTTTGTTTTCCATGTTCTTCATACTTACAGGTATACCTCGACTTACGTCGTTTCGAGTTATGTCGTTCCTGATTATACGTCGTTTGTCAAAAAGTATATGGAAAAATAAAAATCAAGTTTAAGTCATTTTATTCGACTTTACGTCTGTCTGCCACAAATATTGAAGTCATAATATCACTAGAAAAGCGTTTAAAGCTCATAAAATCATATTAAAATATATACATTTACAAGTATGTACAGTATTTACAGTACATGCATTCGTAAATTTAGATTACTTTTTCTGTACTATATTAAAAACTAAAATGTATTTGTTTGTAAGCTTAAAATAGATTTTTATTAACCATATATTATTAAAAATGCATTAATAAATAAAATACAGAACCGGGATTGGTAATTTATGGTTTAGCCTAGTGACAAGTAGATTCGGAGACAAGTAAATTCGAGTTACGTCATTTTTCGACTTACGTCGCTTTCCTGGAACCAATTACCGACGTAAGGCGAGGTATACCTGTACTGTGTTTCTGCATTCACATTTCACATTCTACCATGCATTGTATTATGACAATTGTTACTTTTGTCGTGTTCTATCCCCCTTAAAGTTGTGACCATCTTTCCTATTACACCCTGTATATATGTATATGTATATTATAAATATATACAGTGAAATTCCATTAATCCAGCATATGATATGCTGGAAAACCCAACAAGCCATCATGTTGAGCTCATTGTTGGGGAGTTATCAGTGCACTGAGCATATCCAGAATTAAGATTTTTGTGTAAAAGAACTCAAAACATGCAGTTCTTGGAAGAGTATGGGTTCTACTTTTAGAGATGACATGATGCTGTGCTTGGTAAAACCAGTTAGTTTGTGCATGATTTTTCCAAAGATATTAAGTGCATGGATTTCATATGAGAAGCAGAAACATTTAGCATACTTGGAATCAATAATTATCATAGAAACAGCTACAGTACTACTGCTTGTGTACTTTCATATTTAGAGTTCATCTGTATTTATATACAATAAAAGTGTACAAAACACAATGGAAGAATAGTGTGTTCTTGTTTCAAGCTAACCAACAGTAGGAATAGACTGGAAAAATTGAAATGGTGTGAAAGAGTCTGGAGACCAGCTGACCATTTTACCCACATTTTAAAGGAGATTTATTTAGATACATCAATTATTTAACAATTTAAAAAGTTATTTAATTAAGAAAATGAAACACAAAATATTTTGTTACTTTTGAAATGAATAGAAAGAGGAAAATAGAACTTCTTGTCAACTTTCCGTGACAAGATTCTTATCTCACAAATTGATAATACATCTGGTAGTGCAACTCAGCCCTCAGATCCTGTCACATGTGTAACAATTTAATTCCCAACTGGAGGAGATTTGGGGATAAAAAGGGTAAACATCCTGTTTTCAGGGCTCTCCCCTCAAAGTTCTCCAGTCAGCTCTTCTCATCGTCTCCCGTCTCTCTCATCTCCCGTCAAGAAGTTTTGTTTTATGTACACTTACTGATTCTTGTCCATTCTCCCAAGACATCGAACAAACAAAGAATCAACAGAAAGAGGTATTATGCAGAACTTATTGTAAACTCTCTCTCTCTCAGTTAAATAGAGATGTAGTTACATAGTTTATCGATAAAGCTATTTGATTTTTATTCATATATTCTCTGATAAAGATGCTAATGTTCTTTTTATGTAATCTCCAATTCATTATTATTATTAAACTTTTGTTATTTATTTCACAGGTTTCAAACCAGATTTATTCTAAAGGTTGATCATTATCGACAAATTCACAACCCTTCCCACTCGAATGTATTAATAATTGTGAGTTGGGGTGCAACAATTCCTTTTCTTTAACTGGTGTCAGGAGCCTGATATCAAAAAGATCTCAATCTTGGAGACAAATAGTTAAATCACCATCTCTGCTGACAAAGTGAGCGGGTCACATAGTCCAAACTTTACAAATAAGTGACTAAAGTAAATAGACTCTTTCCCTGTAGATTCTCACAAGTGTGTTAGACAATTATAAAAGACAGATTTGTACAATTGTACAGTTTTACATGCAAAGATATGTAAAATTATGTCCATGGTATCAAAAAAACTTCTACCATCTGATAAGGCAGAATATTTGATAACCTGGCATCAGGCATCATATCAGTTCCAATGATGCTGAGTTAACTGAGTCACTATATACAGTATATATATTTAAGAATTATCTATATATTTGAATTATTTACACACAATATAGCAATGGAAAAAATGGATATGGATATTTCTGCATATTACTAATAACAACTTTTTATCACTATGTCGATTAGAGAATATAAATTTCTATAATGCATTTTTGTATTATATCAATACAGTGGGTGATCAGTTAATGAACAGTTCAGACTACAAACAAATCGGATAACGAACACCTCACAGAATAAACACAAGAAGAAGCGATGTAAAATAATGGTTACTGATTGGTCTTCTCTTGTCTTCAGGCAACAATTCAAAACTTTTCGGAGTGCAGGAGAGGTCAACATTGATGCTCAACCCAGTATATACTAATCGGATAGTATTCCTCCGAACTTTGAAACCTTCCCTTGTAATTCCAGCCTTTTATTTTTCTGACAAATAATTTTTTTTATAATCTTTGCGAGACTGTCGGGTGGGCACTTGTTAAATTTTGCATCTGTTTTTATTTTTGAAAGGTGAGAGTATAATAGCAAAGGTAGAGAGTGGACAGAAGATGTCTGATGTTGCTGGGCAGTATGGCTTGAACAGGTCTACAGTAGGCCGCAGTTCAATCTGATATAGGAAAGATACAGTATAATCAAGAAGACTCAAGCAGCTAAAGGAGTAACAAAAATCACATCTGAGAAATAAAGAATATTGAAGAGCTCATAATGGAATCTGAAAGTAATCTGACAACAGAAAAACACCAAGAAACTCTGCAAGATATGTTTCCTTCTGAAAAAGGATTACTGCCGACATCTGCTATTAAAGATGTTTTGAAGAAGTCACTTCTTGTGTTTGTTCTGTGAGGTGTTCATTATCTGATGTGTTTGTTGTCCAAACATAAAAATCTTTCGCGAAAGTGTTCGTTATCCGATTTGTTCGTTAACCAATCACCCACTGTATATAATTTTTTATTTTTGGAGGTCTCCAGAATGGATTAATCAAATTCCCATAAAAATCTATGATAAATTGATAATCAGTTAACGAACACAGCCTTGGAATGGATTGTGTTTGTTAACAGATCACCCACTGTACTGTAGCTTTGAAATATAAAAATATTCCAAGTAAATAGAGAAGATTTCAAAAAGATTTGATAGTTTTCAAAAATTGATTTCTGGACAATTATGGATATTTGCAACATGAAACCACAGAAAGAAAGACAAATGTTTTTGCTGTCATTACAAAGACTCAATATGACACTACTGGTCACAGAGCAAATATCTAACTGATAATCCAATTCTTCTCAAAAACACACAGATGTTTGAGAAGAATTGGAGAACATATATCTGATGTGACAGTAGCCAATGCCTAACTTACTTGATTCTTCAATTCATTCAAACCATAGTGAAATGGTAGCACAAATACAAAAATCTTTCAAGTAGTTTCAAAGGAAGAAATTACAAGGAGAAACTAATTTTTAATTTTAAGGAGAGTGCAGAGTTGTTTCCAGCATGGTCAATCCACATTTCTGAAAGAATGTCATTCAGGTAAGCTCGTACCTGCATATAATAATGAGGTAGTGTCTCACTGTGCTAAAAATGAAATTTGCAGACTACTCTTCTTCCAGTTAAGGCATCAGCTACATCTGCAACATGTCTAGGTAGGTCATTCCAGGTGACAATGACCTCCTCAAAGAAACATACATCCCAGTCTTGGAAAATAACTCAAAGCACATTTAGCTTGTAAAACTCTGGCAACCATAAAAAGCACCAAATCTTTTTGAAACATGTATAACACACACATATTGCATGACTAATGTGACACACAAAATTGCAAGTGCTTGCTTATTGAAACAGAATTCTTACATAAATAGATTATTTTAAATCTATATTTTTAAAAATTTTTTAATATTTTGTAAAGAATAAAAATACCTNATGTAGTACAAAGTATATACATAGTGTACTGAGCAACATTAGTTAGTAGAGAGTTTGCACATTGGTATATTTTATTATAAAATACTTTGTTATAACCTTATGAACAGACATAAGCAAATATCCAATTATAAGCACACTTTATAGCCAATTACAGAAGTCATTTACATATAATGAAGTCAATAAGATATAGCAAAACACTAATGTCACTTTATCAAACAAGGCATTTAGGAATAAGAAGATTTCAAGTTTTTTATACAGACTCATAAATTGTTTAATAATACTTGCAAGGATATTTCAAATGATGAAAATGAATTTTGGAGGAATGGTCATTCTATATTATTTCAAGATGTATTTGCATTTTTACCTTAGTACAATGAGCAATTATTTATTGTAACATCGTCACAATGCCGAGCTGCAATTTTTTATCATATTTTTAATTTATTTAAAATATGCTCTCCACCTCAAATTAATACTGTAGTGTCTTGCCCCCTGTACATCATACTTTTCCATTAGCAATGGAGTTGTGCCAGTCATCTAACTCCTTTCAAAGGAAAATTTTTGAACTGAAATAATGTGACATCCAGTTTGCATTGGAAGTTTCATATATAGTCAATCAAGGCCTACTGCTGCTAAACTTTCTATATCTAGTCTTGATTTTGTGTATCTAACATCATTCTAGAGATTAAGGAAAAAAGATGAACAACAGTGGAAATTTATAGGTCTGACTTTTTTTCAAATTGCAGATTAAACACCTAAAACTTATAGATGCACAACTGGAACATGAAGTTCAGTGTACAACCATACCTTTTATATTTTACTACCAGATTTAATACCATATGCTACAAACATATGGTGTTAAATCTAATTTTTTGCTGGGACTATAGAAGAAGGGTGGTTGTACTCTGAACATAAAATACATTAAATATAAACTATAAAAAATTAAATTAAGTTTT